CCACGCAGTTAGCTTTCCTCAGCCTCAGTTTCCCCATCCATAAAAGCTGGGTTCTAGAGGGCAAACGTGGTATGTGTCCATTCTCCACCCCCTGTGCCTAAGGGTGGGTGTGCGATAAATGCTCTTTTACTTCTTCCCTCGTGGATGTAGGTTTGGACTCCTGTCGAACACTCGGTGTTAATATAGTTCCCACTGTAGGCACATGATGATGTTGAGATTGGAGGCTTGCAGAGATGACTAGGACATGGTCCTCCCTTCTCGGAACAAAGGCTCAGCTGGAGAGAGGGTGTGCACTCCTGTTATCAAATTTACTGTTTCTGCGTGTCCTCAAGGAGGGCATTCTAGGTGAATGGAGAAGCAGGCGCAGCTAGACCCAGCGAGGGTGGATTGGGCCTGAACTCTGGACTCCTTGCCTATAAAGTGAGAATACTGGGAATTCCTCCCTGGGAAGATGTGAGGGTTAAAGGAGGTCAGTGCCTGAGGTTCCCAGGCCAGCGACAGGCTCCCATTGGGCACTGAGTGGGCGCTGATTATGGACTATCCCTCCACTTGCTTCCTACTAGTGTCAGGCCTCGTTTAGTTGTAGCTCACTGCAAAGCTTCCCCACCCGCTGTGGGTAGACTGAGGCACAGAGAAGCTGTGCTGCTTGTCCAGCGTCGCACAGCCGTAAATGGCTGAAGCAGAATTTGAATCCAGGTGAGCCTGCCGCCCACGCTGCCCTCCTGCTGCGAGGAGGGGAGGGGGAGAGATCGCAAGGCCATTTGGCCTTAGGCAGATCATTTTATCTCTCTCAGGTTCCAGGTCCTGGTATATAAAGTGGGGAAAACAGTGTACCTATGTCACAGGGTCTTGGTGAAATTAAATAAGTCATTTAAAGCACTGAGCCCTCTTGTGTGGCTTGCGGTTAGCATTGGCGGGTGCCTGTGCGTTTCCCCGGAGGGAAGGCTTCCTCCTCATTAGAGGGAAAGGGAGCGTGTGACCTGGTGGAGCCGGAGGTACTGTGAGCCCAGGGCCTGGCGCAAAGACCTGGCAGTGAAGGTGCTGCCTGTCTATTGAAGGCCAGGAGGTGGAGCTGAGAGGCATGCAGCTGGTTCATTGCCGGGAGCCAGTCCATCCTTGCTGTTTCAAGGGACCTGGCGTATATGGCATACTGTTCTTAATGTTTGCTCACCTTCTCGGCACTATGTGTTTTAACCAAGGCCACCTCTCTGAGAAAGGTTGTTTCCCCAGGTAGGGATTTTCCCCTGAAGTTAGGGAGGGAATAAAACCTCTTAACCCCTTCCCCAGCAGAA